ACCTGTCACAGTTTGGGGCTTTTATACTGTGAATCTTCATTTTGCAACTAAACTATTCATAGCAGTGCCAAATTTTCTGGGTCACTGAATGTGGGTGCCAGCGCCCTACCCGCAAACCAAAAATCAAACCAATGAAATGAAAACTGACAAGAGTACTGAGACATTTTGTGCCTAGGTATTGCACTTTGTGACTGTGATGGAGAGTTACTCTTAACTCGTATCCATATGTCTTTTTCCTTTCTACATTTATTTTTGGCTCAACATCCGAGTTTCAAATTGCACACCTGATGAGCCGTCACGAACCATACGGCGAAACGTACATCGTGTGAAACAACTTGTTTTGTAGTCAACTAGTCCATCACAATGTCATGCATGAGGAGTACTGTAGGAGTTTGGCTTTCGGCTTGTACAATTCGTTTTCGCAAAGCTTCCCCTTTCTTTACTTATCTTTGATATTTATGACCCACCCAAGTTGGGTGGTGTGCTGCTTTGCTGCTTCGAATTGTAGTTAGACCGCTTTGTCAAATATCGTACTGGTCTCATCATCGTCCCGTAACAATCGGCATTCTTTGCTCCGTTGGGACTGTAGCTTTTACTCGTTTTCATTGCGCTTGCCTTCCCCTCTTTGGTCTTTCCATAACCTTGAACCTTCCAAGTTGGAAGGCTGTCGGTTAGCGCTACGGAGATATGTTGAAGCTAGGTGTCAGGACGTCGAATGTCTCAGTACTCTTGTCAGTTTTGTGCCTAGTTATTGCACTTTCTGACTGTATATAGTATCCAGTTACAGTGATGGAGAGTTACTCTTAACTCGTATCCATATGTCCTTTTCCTTTCTACATTTATTTTTGGCTCAACATCCGAGTTTCAAATTATGTAATAAAATTGATATTAGCGGCATGCCCAGTGCTGTACCTGCACGGCTATTCTTCGACCTCCCATTTCTCCCAAGTCCGAGTCGATAAGGAGCAGACGGGAAATATCTCTCTCACCTTGAACGTTTGTGGCAGTGTAACGTAGAAATAATTGTCAGCTGCTGCATTCCCTTCGTAGCTAAGCTATTTACGGACCATGTGCGCCGCTTGCCACACACTGCCAAAAACTATCCTGCTCTGACAATAATTATCGTTCTAATCCCATAGAAGTTAGAGTCAGAGGCAAATAGTAAGATTGTGCAAATATTCTAAATTGCGTTACGGGGACAACACGTGTTGTGTAGATACACAGGATGAACTAGTCTGGTTGGAGACAGGACACACAACGACAATAATTATAGTGATTGCAGGCATCACCTCTACTCCTTCATCCACAGTCAGTCAGTCTGTGAGTGTGAGAGATTTCTGCATCAGAAATACGGACGATCTGCATATCCTGACTGTACTGTACTCATGCCAGTCATGGTACTTTAGTCTGTAGACTGTGTAGTGTAGGCTAGCTAGCCGTGCAACGCGGGAATACCAGCATCATGATAATTATCAAGATCTAATCATGCATGATGCAGCTGCACGGGAACGTCGGGAAGGTTTTGCGCACCGGTGTGTTTCCCAATCCTTGCCGCCAATGACTCTGTACTGTGAGTACTGCTACAAAATATGTAGGTCGGCGCTCGTGGCCAGATCATGTAGATGTGGATCTTCTCCAGCCATTGGTCGTTCTACTCGCAGCGCTATCTAGTGTAGATCTACACCATGCCCATGGCATCCGGTAGACAACTAATTACTTACTTCTGCAAAGACCGGAAGTGTGTTTGGCCACCACCATGCATAGATCTACCACTGACAGGTAACAAGACATGACTTATAATGATGTATGGTGATCTCCTGCGCGCGTCAAAGAAACGCTTCCGCAGTGCAGTGATCGCCGTGGCCATGGTGACCTGGTGACTGGGTCTGGGGTCTGAACTGAAGTGAAGTACTGGTCTGAACCAGGGAGTCGTAAAAGCCCGGGAGAGGACACGGCACACATTCCCAGAAAACATCTTTGCCTCGCGCTGCCGGGGAACGCTGCCAGGGAACGGTGTTGCGAGGCAAGGAAATTATTATTTTCGAAAATTGTGATGTCTTCTTGAAAATTAATACTAATTGGGACATTCTCCGATTTCTCTTAGAGCACGGAGACGATTGCTCCGTCGAGTCTTCTGATCTCTATTTTCATCCTCATCTTCCAGCTGCCTCACTCATTCTCTCTCAGTTTATCGAAGTTAATTTATTCTGAGGCGATGGAAATGCAAGACAAATCCCTAATTGTACTTCACTTTTATTTGAGTTGGGGTGAACGAAATGAGATTTGTGGAAAATGACGCCACTTCCCGTGTTAGCCGCTGGTCGTAGCATACAGCCCATATTCCATTGCAGATGATGGGCCAACGTTCGTGTTGAGATCCGCTGAGTTTCCTCGTACTCGTGGAGTTGAATTTGTGGCAGAAATTGCACTGAATTGCAGTCAAATGGTTGTGAATGAAACGAGATTTGTGGAAAATGACGCCACTTCCCGTGTTAGCCGCTGGTCGTAGCATACAGCCCATATTCCATTGCAGGTGATGGGCCAACGTTCGTGTTGAGATCCGCTGAGTTTCCTCGTACTCGTGGAGTTGAATTTGTGGCAGAAATTGCACTGAATTGCAGTCAAATGGTTGTGAATGAAACGAGATTTGTGGAAAATGACGCCACTTCCCGTGTTAGCCGCTGGTCGTAGCATACAGCCCATATTCCATTGCAGGTGATGGGCCAACGTTCGTGTTGAGATCCGCTGAGTTTCCTCGTACTCGTGGAGTTGAATTTGTGGCAGAAATTGCACTGAATTGCAGTCAAATGGTTGTGAATGAAACGAGATTTGTGGAAAATGACGCCACTTCCCGTGTTAGCCGCTGGTCGTAGCATACAGCCCATATTCCATTGCAGGTGATGGGCCAACGTTCGTGTTGAGATCCGCTGAGTTTCCTCGTACTCGTGGAGTTGAATTTGTGGCAGAAATTGCACTGAATTGCAGTCAAATGGTTGTGAATTAAACGAGATTTGTGGAAAATGACGCCACTTCCCGTGTTAGCCGCTGGTCGTAGCATACAGCCCATATTCCATTGCAGGTGATGGGCCAACGTTCGTGTTGAGATCCGCTGAGTTTCCTCGTACTCGTGGAGTTGAATTTGTGGCAGAAATTGCACTGAATTGCAGTCAAATGGTTGTGAATGAAACGAGATTTGTGGAAAATGACGCCACTTCCCGTGTTAGCCGCTGGTCGTAGCATACAGCCCATATTCCATTGCAGGTGATGGGCGAACGTTCGTGTTGAGATCCGCTGAGCTTCCTCGTACTCGTGGAGTTGAATTTGCGGCAGAAATTGCACTGAATTGCAGTCAAATGGTTGTGAATGAAACGAGATTTGTGGAAAATGACGCCACTTCCCGTGTTAACCACTGGTCGTATCATACAGCCCATATTCCATTGCAGGTGATGGGCGAAAGTTCTTGTGGAGATCCGCTGAGCTTCCTCGGCGTACTCGTGGATTTATGAATTTGTGTCAGAAATTGCAGTCGAGTGGACTTCTGTGCGTGTGTTGTGAGTAAATCGCGACGGCTCCCTTCCTTCAGCATCGTCAAAACGCAACATAGAGCATTATTACGCACTCGTTCCATGATTCATGATAATGCCTGGATTCTTTTAAAAACAATCAATGTGTGTTCCCTATCTATCTACATTGTACATGGTTGCAGGTCGTTATTTATAAATCTTGATAATTTCAACACTTTTCTACTCGTATACTGAGTACGCGGTGACTTGAGCCGTTTAGGAAACGGAAGTCTTGGCGAGTGTACAAAAGGTAAACCTATCATTTGTACTTCATAACGGAATTGTGCACAAAAATGCACACGCACGTTCGCGCGCACACACACAAGCACACACACAAACACTGTACAAACACACACAAAAGTACAAGCACATGTGCACATACACACGCCTCCCCCCCCCCCCCCCCCCCCCCCCCCCCACACACACACACACTCAACTCCCCACCCCTGTACCATGTGTACTGAGTCTGACAGACATACAATCATGTTTATCCTTCCTTCGCCACCAGTTTCGGATAATGGTGTCAACAACGAGTTGTAAAATATTGGTATTTTAGGACTCCCTGCCCTGAAGACAAGCACAGCGCCGTGGATCGAGCAGATCCGGCCGCGCCGGCCTAGCGTGCTTCACTTTCTGGCCGAGGCAAACATCGTCCGCGTGCGCGCATCCCGTGTCCTCTCCCGGGCTTTTACGACTCCCTGGTCTGAACAGACTGAAGCAGTGAAGGAAAGACCGGCGAGCGCAGCTATGCATGAATCCAATGCAGTGTCAGTACATTCGGGGGGGGGGGGGGGGAGGGGGAGTAAGTCAGTTACAGCGTGCAGCTGCTGGTCCAGTAAGACCTGAGATAGCATAGCCCAGGCTACGTGTGTGCCTAGGCTAGAGAAATGCTGCGGAATGCCATGTAGGCTTGTACTTAGTTGAAAGTAAGTAGTTAGTTGTACTTGTAGCACTCGGTGATGAAACGACCAAACAGGTGCACAGATGCCCCTACCCCCCAAACAAACACCCTTCTTGAACTTGGCATTTCCAGTGCAGTGTGCGTCAGTATTATTGATAGTCTTCACTCAGCAACCTACCAAGTCACATGCACATGCATGCGCGGATGGATGCACGCACGCATCCAAGAATGCGCATACACACAAACACACACACCATTGGACCATTGGACGCCCATCGCCGGAGGCGATGATAGCGATGCTACAGCAGAAGCCATAGCAACTTGTGCTGGGATTGCACCATTCAACAGCTTGCAAGGCTGAAGAATTGACCGCCACTATTCAGCCTGGTCTACACCACACAG